CGCTCAAACTGGCTACGGGAACTCATTCAGAACAAGGCAGTGAACCTCCGTCACCAACCAGGTGAAGGACAGCGGGCTGATATTGGGACGAAACCGTTCTCAAAGGTGAGGTTGGAACAGCTGGTGAAGCTGTGGGGAATTGTTGATCGGCGAGCTACTACCACGACGACGGCGAGATCAGCGAGGGTTAATCCTACCTGGTTGACAACAATGCTGATGCTTTGTCAGGTTTGTGGTTCCCTGGGGCAAAAGGAAGATCTACAAACAGAAGTTCCTTGGGACCTCTATGTCATCATTCTGATCCTCGCAGTCGCGGTCATTGGGCTTTGGGAAGGAGGGAAGAGTTGCTTGAAGTCAAGAGGACCACAAGTGCGAGCCCTACGTGCCAAAGCAGATACAGCTATTGCAACCCGTGGGAAGCTTACGAGGAACGAGCTTAAAGAGCTTCAAAGAATGCTGATGGTAGAGCCAAGTGATTTGAGTGATGAACAAAAGATTCGTTTGGTGGAACTTCAAGACAAGTTCAACGAGACTATGCCAGAGGGAACCTCACCCGTACCGAGATACCCCGCAGAGCTGTTCCAAGGATTTGCGGAATCCTCTTCTTCATCTACGGCAACTTCATCAAGGACTCCCGCGCCGTCAAGTTACAACAAGCAGCCCAAGGGCAAGGAGATGAAAAGTGTCGAAACCCAGACCGACCATGTTCCAGCTTTCACGAGAGTTGAACCACCACCACCGCCAATGATCCGCACCTACGCAGGCCCTTTTTATCAAGTACCCGGAGGAGATAAATTTCATGTTTTCCCCAACTGTTGGGGACTGCGGAATGCATCGCGGACAAACTCAATCGAAGTCTGTAGATGCTGTGCTGAGAATGGTGGTAAAAGGATCTATTGAAACGAGAATGCCGATCACAATGATCCGAAGATCCAGTGGTGCTTCTGCTCTATTGATGGAAGCAAGGAGGAGTGCGGAAATCTGCATTCCCGTCTGTCAGGAGTTTCGCATGCCTTGCTTTGTAAAGTTGTGCACTGAGAACTTATGCTCGAGCACAGAAGGACCGCATGCATGTATAGGATCGAACTCAGCCTAGACAGGGCTTACGATCAGAGCATTCACAGGTCTGTTGCGAGTAAAACAAGTTCGATTGCAGCTCCTGTGGAGCACATGTGTGGCCGGCGCTGATTTATTGTCTGCATAAGTCCGACCTCTACCCCAATTCGAAGTTCAATAACCCCATAAGCCCTACGACCCTCAAGACCCAAACCTGAAGACACTCATAAACCCTATATACCCTAAACCCTAAGACCCATATCAACCCTAATAGACCCTAAACCCTAAGACACTCATAAACCCTGTATACCCTAAACCCTAAGACCCCTATAAACCCTAATAGAGCCTCAACCCTAAGACCCCTACCTGCAGAACCCAATACCCTTAATTAAGGCCTTAAGTAATAGGGGGCTTAGTATTATGTTTTAAGGTATATAAGGGGTATTGGGTTATCTGGGTATAAACCCTATAGGCCTGAAAGCATGGAAGCATAGGCCACAAGAATGCCTCCGATCACCTGGGAGCGCGCGGGTTTCCTTGGTTCCGCTGGCGCCGGCGGAGAAACAACACGGAGGCCGGGGTCTCGGGGTTTAAGGGTTCGGGGTTTGAGGTTTTAAGGTTTAGGGGTTAGAGGTTTGGGGTTTAGGGTTCAGGGTTGGATTTGTATCAAGGGTTTAGGGCTACTTGTACAGGGTTTCAGGGTTGTCAGGGTTCTATAGGGTCTAGAGTTGTCATCTACAGTTGGTTGTTTTGGAATTCTGATATTGAGTTGAGTGGATCTGAAGTTTAGACTCGACAAGATTTGGGGCCTAAATCCGTATCAGCCTTTCTGATCTTGTCGTTGTTCTTTGGTTTTGGCTTTGGTGTTCCAATGCCCCCTGCTTGGGGCATCTTTATAGGAGCCAGAAAGTTAGTATGCGTTTGACTAGTTGAGTTATACCCAGTGTAAGGGCCTTAATTTATGCAATAGGGTTTGGTGGCCTATTATACTCTAATGGTGATAAGGAACCCCCAAAATAGTCTTGGTAGTTGTTTAGGCCCTGATATCATACCCTTATAGATCCCTTATAGTAACCCTTGTAGACCCTTTTAAAGGAACCCCCCCCCCCTCCCGCAGCCTAATCCCTAATCTCTACGGGCTCGCCCAGGCGGTTCAAGCTTCGGCCCCTCACAAGCCTTCAATCCAAAACTCTGCCCAGAGAACCAACCCAATACTTCTTAGTTTAGGAATAGATCATAAATTATACAGGCCCTAATATTATGATTAAGGGTATATTCCTTACTTAAGGGGTATTGGGATTCTGGGTGATTGCTATCAACCGCAAACTATTTTCCGACAATGTTAACACCCGGTCCCCAAAGCAGAATGAGCCCAAAGGGTCCCAAGTACTGTTATGGGGGATACTTCCCTAAGTCATCATAGTAATTCCTAATATAGGAAACCCTACATTCTACTATATCGGTACATAGGACCCTTTGGGGAAAGCAGGTTGCCCCAGAGGTGCTCTTGTGACCTGGCTTGAGTGAGGGAATTGGGATTTCGGGTCTAGGAAATGTTTCAGAGTCAGAGATGTATTGGGTTTCGGAGCTTGGGTTAAACCACCGCCTGTTCTTGATTTTCCAGGCTGTTCACTGTTTTAGGCTGCGGGCTCAAAGGTGGGCTTGTTCTTTCGATTTGAGTGCTGCAAGCTTCCCGAGAAATGGGTTATTTGTTCTGCTAATACGGTTTGGGCATTCAGCACTCTTGCAACTCGGCATTTAGTGATCTGTGTTTTCCCCAGCTGGTGGGAATTGAGCTGCCCAATGTGCTCTAGCAGCCCAAAATTGAAAAGCGCTCCACCCAAGCAGAACCATATCTCAAGCTGATCCACCGGAGATTCCCACTTCCAGACCCAAAGTGTCCAAAGTACCTACATAGTAGGATGTAGGGTTTTTATATTGGGACTTACTATTATGATTTGGGAAAGTGTCCCGCATAGCAATACCTAGGACCCGTTGGGATAATCAGCTGATGATCATGCCTCACCTTCACTTATCACGCCAGAAAGATGCAAACCGCACGCATCTCAATTGTGAAGGCTTGCTCACGAGGATTTTAAGAACGGGTTTTTGCGTCTCGTGCTGAGATACTGCCGATGGCAATGCTAACCGCGCCAGTTTGCAGGTTGATGCTTGTATGTAGTATACGTATATAGCACATGTATGGTAAGTCCTCACTACCCAAAGGCCTCAAAGTAGTTCCTTTTCGGGGGTCTTCTTTAGAAATCTATAAGGTAATCCCAAAAAGGAACTACTTTGGGGCCTATGGGAATTGTTTAATTAAGGGGTATACTGGGTTCTCTGGGTATTTGTTGCACCCGGAGATGGCTCTCCTGAGGCAGTTCGACGCGCAGGGAGCCCAGGGGGGATTTTCGACAACACATGCGTAAATGATAGCCGCAACCCATAGGCTCCATAGTGGTTCTTTGTGGGGGCTCATATTTAGAATCCTATAAGGTAATCCCCAAAATAGTAACTACTATGGAGCCTGTGGGTAATGACTAGACTATGGCTATACGATATCACACCAAAGTGCACACCAAATTGCCGTATTTCTGTGATTCCGGCCCCGGCTTTACATAGCAAGCTTCCCCATTCCGAGCAGCGACGTGGGGACGCCCGTGCAGGGACAAAGCAGCACTTGTGCATGCAGGGTGATAGGGTGTAGGTTTCAGTTCTCCAGCAGCAGCTGCGATGATAACGACAAGCGACCATGCAGCAAAAAAGAAGTAACAAATAACATAAGGATTATACTGCCGATTGATTGAGACGAACATCCGTGAAAGTAAAAGCACTCGTGATAAACCCGCCCAAAGCCGAACTGCGTGAATCTGTTTTCCTTTGCCACGAGGCCGAGTCTGCCAGTATTTGCCGGCCTAAGCCTAACCCACCACTACCTTAGCCTACCAAACCCTACTTTTTTGGTAGGTTCTTATTATGAACCCTAATATGGAGTTTATAGGGACCCTACAAACAAGTAGGGTTTGGTAGGTTAAGGTTAGCCTTAAGCACCCTTCCCCAACCTGTGTACTCCAGAGGCTGCCAACTGAGATGGCAAAGAAAACACCATCCCACCCGAAGGCCGGGTTGAGAATGTTACGGATCAGGGCTGAAGTCCATAGTCTCCTTAGGAATTATTGTCTATGTTTGTTTATAAAACCCAAGAGAACATTTAAAAGCTGCATTTTTAACATGGTTCTAAGGGGGGGTATAGAAGTCACTGCAAGGATTTTTGGGGTCAAGGGTTTATAGGATCCAGGATTCAATTTCATGCAAAGGTGTTGGGGTTCGTAGTCATGGGCATCAGTGGGAGGTCGGGCCTGGAGTTCAAGAATGGATCTAGCTCAACGATACCTCAAGGAATCAAGGGTCTCATTTCGAGGCAGTGTTGCAACTCCTGAAACTGGGTCCTTGTTCTGTTAAGAACCTAGCAGACTTAGCGTAAGTTCCCGTAATGGGAAACATCGTACGTGCAATTTCGCTGAACATGGTAGCTTGAACTACGTAGGAGGTACTGTATTTGGGATACGTTCCAACTTCTCTTGTGGTCATTTGGATGTGCCTATTCATATGTAGATTTGGGTGCCCTTTAAGAAGTTGCATCCTCCTGATGCAGAAGAGTACTATACAGCACGCTAAACCTTAAAGCCCTACACATGGACCCCAAGATTTCAGGATAGGATGGCTTGATTTATCTGAACTCCTCGTCACGACTCTGCTTCTGCTGGATGCATACTTCGGCCGCATGGCCAGGAAATAGTTTCGGGGGATGTGCGGTGAAGCTTTTTGTGCCGGCAGTGCTGCTCCAAGTCAGCCGACGTACCCGGCAAATGGAATGAGTTGCTTCACAGCATGACGACGTTAGGCAAACAACGTCCTCCCTCACTCCCATCAAGGCTAGCATCATGTCGATGTCAGTCCATGTCGGCCTACTGAGTGGGCATTCTTGTGTTGTGGACACAGACGCCGCACAGTCGGTCGGGGAGCTAAGACGAAAGGTGCAGCAGAAGCTGCGCATTGGGGTCAGTGCCTTCGTAGATGACTCGGGACAGATGTTGCCAGAACATCAGTCCCTCAGTGAGGCCGGCATACAGGATGGTTGCAGAGTGACTGCGGCCGCAAGCCACATCCAGGTACTTGGCAGCCGCATGTGCAAAGCCTTTGCCTTGATCCGCCCCGAAGGTTCCGTGCTCACTTGGGGAGCTGCAGGTGAGCTTTGTCGTGCAGAGAAGCTGCGGAATGTACAGCAGATCGCTGCTTCAGTCGCTGCCTTTGCAGCCGTACAAGCAGATGGCAAGGTGGTCTGTTTTGGCGAGCCATGGGCTGGAAGCGACTGCTCTTCCGTTTCTGAGCAGCTACGGCACGTAAAGACTGTGAGAGCCTCCAGCACCGCCTTCGCTGCTCTTACCGAACTCGGCTCTGTCGTCACATGGGGTTCGAAGAGTTCCTTTGTCATAGTTGGGTAACCTTTTAATTTTTTATGGGTACTTAAACCCAATAAGGAATAATAAAGTTAAATTTGTAATCCTATCCCAACCATGAAGCTAGGCTCCGGGGGAGACAGCCAGCCTGTGGCCGAGCAACTTATAGGCTGGGACTTGGAGTACCATACGTTAATACTCCTTTAGGGACCTGTTACTGAAAGGGAACCAGTATGAAGTAAAAGTCTATACTTTTTTCTCCCTGGTTACTTCAAAATTCCGGTAGGCGTGGTGGACATTGTGTCTTCCTGGTCAGCTTTCGCTGCCATAAGAGAGGATGGCTCTCTGGTGACCTGGGGGGATCTCTATCGTGGTGGGGATAGCCGGCCGGTGCAGAAAGAGCTGCGAAATGTGTGCCATGTGGCGGCCACCTTGATGTCCTTTGCAGCACTTCGCAAAGATGGTTCTGTAGTGACATGGGGCGAGGAGTGGTCTGGAGGAGACAACACGGTGGTCACGGATGCACTCGAGGGCGTGCAAACGATCGTTGCATCTTCCAGGGCGTTTGCTGCTACCACGGGGCACGGAGGAGTCGTCACCTGGGGAGATGTAGACAGTGGCGGATGTTGCAACTCTATCCAGCCGGAGCTTTTCAACGTTTCTCAAGTTTGTGCAACGGACAGGGCATTTGCTGCCTTGCGTACAGACGGTCGCGTGATTTGCTGGGGGAATGCTGAGTCAGGTGGCTGCTGTGATCAGGTTCAATCACAGCTGAACAACATCCGGCAGATTGCAGGTTCCAGCTGTGCTTTTGCCGCGTTGCGCTCAGACGGGACAGTTGTTGCCTGGGGTGATCCGCGCTGTGGCGGCGACAGCAGCGAGGTGGAGCCGCATCTTGTGGATGTGGTGCAGATCTATGCTTCCTTGTCGACTGGATGCACTTGGAAGTGCTAATTAATTACTAGGGCTACAACAGCTGGATAACGGTTCTGTGGACTGTGTATGCTATGGTAACGGTATGTTTCTTCTATGTATGTACACATAGACATATATGTATACATGCGTGAATATGTAGGTCGTACTAGCATCAGTCATTTGAGGTGCGCCTTTTCTGCCCTACTGGCGAATGGCGATGTGATCACCTGGGGGCAGCTTTACCATGGTGGTGGTGACTCTGCGAGTGAATATCGCTGGCAGCGGCTCACAGATGTACATAGTCTTCAGGTTGCCCCTGATCTGCTTCGGCACTAGAGCCGGGTCCAGGCTATGGTTCAGAGGTTAGGGCTTCGGGCATGCCATCGCTTCGTACTTCAGAAAAATCAAGCTTCCAAGCTTGTGGTCCTGTGACACCACCCAGCATGTCGTCTGCACCTCTATCAAACCTGATTCGGATCCACTGACATGCCCCAGGCCAGCATCATACCCCCCCTCCAAAAAAAAAACAGAAATTGCGATTGTGATTGCAAGGATCCCAAACAAAAGCCCGTACATGAAGCCCGTTTTGGAGGCTGGCTTACAGAATGTCAGCATCAAGCTGTCGCTTCCCAATGCGACGCGACCGCCGCGGTGGCTACGCGGCTCGGCCATCCGAGTGGGTTAGGGGTTTAGGAGTTTAGGGTTCAGGGTTGGGGCTTAGGGTTGTTCAGGAGTTCGAATTTTAGGGATTAAGGCGGTTTTAGTGTTTAGGCACCTGCATCCAGATGTGCGGCTCTGTTCAGGCCTGACTACCCAGGGGCCCCAAAGTAGTTCCTTTTTGGGTAGTATATTAGAGTCCCTAATCAAAAAAGAGGACACACCCAAAAAGGAACTACTTTGGGGCCCCTGGCTAATTATGCACTAGTATTCCTTGAGGTTCTTACTTTACTTACAGTTGCATTATAAGGGCAACTCAGGCAACTAAGGCGACTAGAAGTACAAGGTGCAGCATAAGGGGCCTACATGTTGGGGAAGCTGATAGCTGAGCACACTGTCATGCGTCCTATGAAACCCCAAGGCCCTAAACCCCTAAATCAAAAGGTCTTGAACCAGAAATCTTTGAGGCTTCTTGCTAAGGGATCTGTATACTATTTGGGGGGGATCCATAGTCCCATCGTAGTATAATGGCCCCCAAACCCTAGAGGCTTCTGGAGTCTGAGAACACGTCCTAGCGCAGTCTCTGAGTCTCTCTACACAGAACTCATGAGTGTAGATTGAAGTTCTTGGTATATATAAACAGAGAATAAGAACGAAGCTGCGAGGTCGTCCTCACAAGCGAGCGCAGCACAATGAGCTTCTCGGAAGCAGGTTCCCAAAGTTCATCGGAACCCTCCACCCGAAACCCCTCCTTTTGTCAGGTCTCCAGTCCAGCCTGTGTTCTGGAGCTTCGCCCCTCATCCTTAAATCCTGAAACCCAAACTCTAGCCTCTAAACATCCCACAAAAGCCAAACCCTAACTTCTGCCCTTCACTTGGGCCAGGTTTGTTTCAGGAGAGGCCTGGCTTAGAAGGCTTGACGGGACCTGCTGAGAGAATCCATTAAACATTGCTATCAAGAGGCCTTGAGAATCATGGATAGAAGAAAGGTTTGGGGTTTTCTTATTTGGGAGTTTCCGAAAATAGGGGACCCGAATATAGGTACCCTAAATAGTAGGATCCTATTTTCGGAAACTCCCATATAATTGTAATTCCAGGCGACCTCATTAGTTAGAGCATGGCTCTGGGGTTGGCTATCATAGACGGGACTGTAAGGCAATGCAAGCATGATTGTTAAATGGGGGTTTCCGAAAATTAGGGGTACCTTAATTTGTGGTCTTTATAATAAGGATCCTACTATTTAGGGTGCTATATTAGGGTCCCCCCATATTCGGAAACTTCCAAATCGCCTTACTCCCCAAGTTGCAAGGAGCGCTCATGCTGGCTCTCGGGCAACATCTGCGATCATGCATCCCGGAGTCGAGTTTATAAGTGCTACGGAAGTTGAGCGGTCGCTCTAAGCGGTTTGGGTTTAGGGTTTATAGGGGTTTTTAATTTTGTAAACACTTCGATAAGGGCACAAGGCTTCAGGACCACAGAGTCGAAATCAGCTGGCTTTCTTCAAAACCTACGTCTAGCAAATGAATCTGTGGCCGCTGTTTTGCTGAATGTTATGAAGGGTGCATTGCCGGTTCCGTTCAGTTGTGTCCTACCATCTTGAAACCCTCAACCGGGGCCACGGCACGCTCAACAAGCAGGATTTGGCTTGAGCGAAGCCCAAGGTGGACGCAGCACAAAGTGTGCAACGTGCCCTTGGATCTTAAAGATAACAAGTAACTTCAGCATTGGCAGCATCAGCATGGGCTCCAGACTACCGCCGTTGGGCTGTCAGAGTGTGTTCGAGGCTGCCTATCGCACTCAGAGGGTAATCCAGTGACGCAAGACTCAGCTCAATTCTCCAAACTATAAGTTTGTCCCTAAATCTGCAAAGTTCTAAACCCTTCCAAAATCCTACAAGCCGTGAACAAACCTACTCCAGGCAAAGCACGGTCGATTACTGGCTCGACTGTTGGGCCCGTTGGGCGGAACGCCTCGGCCTGCGGGAAGAGCTGATGAAGGAGACCGTCTCAGGCTTAGATCATGGAGTTCACGGCCTTAACAAAGTGGCCTTAACAACATGAATCATCATTAGCATCAGAATAGCTACCTAACACCTAATTTACAGTATGATACTACCAATATTTAGTAATGGGCATGTGGGACACGTTATAGCAGACCTGTAGCGCCCCTTTGTCAGAGAAGGCGATCCTTTAGTCTCGAGTGCTGCCTCCAGAACTTGGGAATTGGAGCAATGAAGTCTGGTTTCCTGGCTAGTACCCTTCTGCCCTGCTTTGTTTTTTGAGTTTTGGGTTCCCTCATCAAACTCGAACAGTACAAAAAAGCAATCAAATACGACTTCACTGAGACCCCGGTCGCACAGCTTGAGCCCAAAAGTCAAGTCCTCAGCAAAACCCTTGTGCAACCCGGCTCTACGGTTTCAGTTTATGCTGTAGGGTTCAGAGTTTCCTTAGGGGAATAGTTCAAAGAATACCCCCGGTAGTCCATAGAGTCCACTCAGCCTAGTAGCTGAGTGGATACACTTTACATTTTTTGGGATAGTACTACCTATAAGAAAGAAAGTGTGAACTTTTTGGTTCTTATGAACTCAGCAACTGAGTCAAGGACTCAAAGCTCTTGTATCAGGACCCTGTGGTGGAGCTCCTCCGATCTGCCGCACCGACCGAAGAAGAACGCGACTCGCCTGCGCCTGCGCACTCTGCTTAGAGGTTCATGGTACTTAGGAACTAGGGTTCTACTAAGGTAGCTATATTTTTAATTGGTTATATCCCCAGTTAAGGTACTTATAACTGTACTTACTATGTCCCATGAATCTCCAAGTTGGGTGTCGGATTGAGGGTTTAATAGGGTTGAGGGGGCTTCCAGGTTTCGACTCGGTTGCGGTTATCAGGTTCCACTTGGAGGTTCATGGGTAGTTATACGTAGACTTGTAAGTAGGGTAACTGTACTTATAACCCATATCAGGGGACTTGTAACCCTACTTACAACTACCCATGAACCTCCGAGCAACTTCTGAGCAGCATGGCTTCCGGTGTTTACGATTCGAGTAGCTTTCAAACGAAAGCCTCAGTTGCAGGAACTGGGCCGAACTTAAAGCCGAAGCGTTTCCGAGACTCTGCGCTTCAGGTTTCGAGCCTTTAGAGTATTAGGATTTGAGGTATTAGGGTTTAGGGTATTATCTTTAGATAGGGTTTGAGGTATTAGGGTTTAGGGTATTAGGGTTTAGGGTTTAGGGTTCAGGGTTTTTATAGGGTCTTTCGAGATCAGCCCAGGAAAGCAGCTGCAGTACCAGCGAGAGCCGCGCGGTCGCAGGTTTCAGATTCTTCGTGTGTTTCTTGTTCGCCGTCTCAGGCCGCAGTACCTATATAGGGATCACTTTAAGGCCAAAGTAGGACATGGGTACCGCGGACCCTGAAACCTCTAAACCCTGCTTGGAGGTTCATGGGTAGTTATATGTGGAGTTATACGTCCCCTATTATAGGTTATAATTATGGTTACCCTACTTATGACCCCACTTCTAACTACCCATGAACCTTTAATTTAAGTAGTTCCTGTCTTCGAACTAGTTCCGTTATGTTGCCCTTACAAGGAACCCTTTAACGGAGCCCTAAACCCTGAACCCGTAAGCCCTTGGAAAGGGAAGGATTCGGGGCAGGGGCTAGTGTAATGGGTTATTCGATTGAGGAGTCCTTCCCGTACCACCCCTCCGTCGTTGCAGGCATTCCAGACTCCCTTTGGGCAGACGGAAAAGAGGGTTCCAAAACAAAAATAAACCCTACCTGAGGTGGTACTACCACGACAGCAGCGTCTTCTATGTGATGCTCACGGTACGACTTGGCTTGCTGACCTTCATTCTGGCCCTACTCGGCTTCGCACCTTTGCCTCATGAAAAAGGCCTTAATCAGTAGAATAGGGTTCCTTGAAAGCGATATTATACTATAGATATAGTAAGAAATCCCTAAATAGACTCATGAAAGGGTAACGGTATGTCCTATAAGTGTTACTATGGCGGGTACCATAAGGGTAATATTTTGCAGTTTGAGGGCCCTGTTTCGAGAAACCTCTAGGGATCCCGTCTGGTTTCGATGCAAATCCTTCGATCCTCGTTCCTGGTGTGTTTTCTCCAGCAGCCATCGCAGTCTATGCAACCACAAGATTCAATCCACCACCCCACAAGAACTTGCACTATGCAGCTCGGAACTCACGGTGCTGTCTTTCGCCCGAGGCCCGCTGATACTTCTGTTGCCATTTTACTGCTCTCAGGAGTTGCTGTTGCAGGGCTGGCTTTGTGGCGAGGTTGGCCAGGCGACGGGCATAACAGTTTGAGAGCTTCACGGCTGTGCATGCTCTCCTTTCCGCACGTAATCTTGTTGAGATTCGGGGCTCACGGATGAAGCTTTTCGGAAACCTGTTTGTTGTCAGGTATCTTGAGTAACCGCAATGCTGTGACACGGCCACATGAACTCATTCTCTCTCTGTCTCTCGCTCTCTGTCTCTCTCTCTCTCTCTCTCTCTCTCCCTCTCTCTCTCTGTCTCTCCTCTCTCTCTCTCTTCTCTCTCTCTCTCTCTCTCTATCTCTCTCTCTCTCTCTCTCTCTCTCTCTCTCTCTCTCTCTCTCTCTCTCTCTCTCTCTCTCTCTCTCTCTCTCTCTCTCTCTCTCTCTCTCTCTCTTCCTCTGTTTCACACATCGGCTTACATGCGCCCAGCTAGCCAAGCGCCTGTCATCGTCACGGTTGTGGTAGCAACAGCAGCAAACGGTGACAGCATCAGTCGCCCTAGAAGCAGGGGGCTTATTTCAAGCCGGTGTCGAAGTGGTTGTAAGCGTCCTCGCAGTGCTTGTAGAAGGCCGTTCTGTGCGGCCGTTTTTGTTTTTCTTTAGCAGATGTTGTTGCTGCAACTCTTTGGCTTGAGGTTCTAATGTTCTTCATCTCATGTAGATGTTGCACAATGGCTAGCGCGTCAACTCTTATCTGTTATCTGTAACAAATCCGTAACCTGTAGTATGTATATGCATTCCTGACATATCGTTCGGCCTCCAAGAATCTAATTTTCAAGAACCCGGAATTGCAAAGACTGTAGGCTTGCAAGCAGGCGTCTAAGCATCTATGGAGTCTATGCATCTATGCATGCATGTCTGAATGCCTGTCTGTCCGGTCTGTTTGGTCTCGCTCCATCTGTCTGATTGTATGTATGTATGCATGCATGTATGTATGTATGCGTGCATGCACGTTACACTTCACTATGTGTATGCAGGGTGTAGTTGCGTTACATAGCACCGATGCACTGATGCATCCTGCAGGCCTTGGCTGTCCCGCGGCTCTTCTTCTCGCCTGCAAAAGCGGCAGAGCTGAGCTTCCAGGTGCCTCGTGGATTGTAGGGTTTGCTTTTGTGTTTTCTTCGGGGGTCCTATCCGGCTTACTAGTACAGTAGGGATTGCCGTGAAGGTTTAGGGTTTAAGGGTTTTGGGGCAGTTTGAGGGTTGGGTCTTATGTCTTATGGTCTATAGGTGTTCTAAGTCTAATGCTTTTTGGGATGAGGTTTGTAGTGTAGAGCTTGATTCCGGGCGCTGGGTTTAGATTTGGGGGGGGCCTTACTGTTGCGGCCTCGGAGTTTCGGGACTTGTGGGTGGGCGTTTAGGGTTTAGGGCTTGCGGATATTGGGTTGAGGGGACCATGATGCAGTGTTGATGGTTATCAGGTTCACTTGCATGCGGATTTTCAGGTGTGGTGTTTTCTTTGCTTGCTTCTAGATGCTTTCCTGCGCCGGGTTAAGGTGTGTGTTATAATATTTTATGGTGTTGTGCTCTACAGCCTATAGAACCTTATGACATTTCAATCGGCTACATAGATCGCGCTTTCATTTTACCCTTTCTTGTGCTTCGCTGGTTTCGCTGTTACCTAGTAGACTTAGCATTGGTTAAACTGGCGTGAGTACCTTGCAACAACCACACAATGTCGTTAGTTGTTGCTGGTGTTGTTCACGATGATCTCCTTGGGTAGTGAGCAAGATGTTAACTAATGGGAAAGAAGAAGGAACACCTGCTGTTGCAGGCATCAGGATAGTTTTTCGGCTTGTTGATGTTGTCGCCACTGTGGTTGTCTATTCGGTTGTTGCTGTGCTTGAGGCATGTTGCCGCTGTTAAGCGTCGCTGCAGCCAGGGCTTCGCGACTTCTGGAACCACGCCCACAACTGTGCACCCACAGCGTGCCTTGGCCAACTGGATAGTGTCGAAGTCTCGAAGCGATTTGACGGATAAGAAGAAACGAGCTTCCTGGCAGTGTCTTGAAATTCTGCTGAGCAGCAATCTTGTGTAATTAAGCATGAGATCCAGGGTGCAGCCTGCACAGAGATAACTTTCTTGTTTGGTTTTATGGGCTTGCTCTCTGTTGAATTAGACCGGGCGAGTGGTAAGCAGGCGCCTGGGAGCCGACATGTGCTTAGAGCTTCTTTCCTCAAAAGGGGTACGAACTTGGCAGCATGGCTTGTGTTGACCTGGGCCGGTGTATGACACGATGTAGCTGCCTGAGAAGTTGATGTGCCGCAATCTAACGGCTCTTACTAATTACCTTTTTACTGGGCCTCAGAGCCCTACTTTAATTACTAAGGCCCCTATATTATAGTGCCCTCATAGATCCCTTACAAAGAAACCTTATTTTAATTGTTAAGACCCCATATTAGTGTCAACTGCTCCCCGTCTCAAAAATGAACCCTATAAACCAGAAGCCCTAAATCCCTAAACCCTAAACCCGAGGTGGCTCGAAGCGCGAGACGCTGCGGCGTCTGGTTACCGGTCAAGTGAGCTGCAGGCCCCAGGGATCCCAATAACCCCTTAAAGGAATACCTAGGGTTCCTTTAAGGGATCTATAAGGGATCTATAGGGTTCAGGGTTTTTCGGGATTCTAATACCCCTTAGTTAAGAAATATATACACCTCAAATACTAGGGGCCTTAGTTTTATGATTTAAGGTATATTCCTTAACTAAGGGGTAGTGGGATCTCTCTGCAGGCCAGCGCATTGAAATACTCAGGATGGTGATGTAGGCGTTGTTGTGAGCCTGCTATAGATGGTTTAGGGTTTAGGGTTCATTCAGGGTTTAGGAAGATGAAGAAGATGAAGCAGTTGATGATGATGACTCTATCATGAAGACGGTCGCTGTCACCATCCAACAAGTCCTGCATCGTCATATTCGTCATCACCCAGATGAGCACAAACGTTCTCACGAGCGTGACAATCATTCCGGCCACAACCAGAGAATGTCACAATCCTCCATTTCTAATGTCACCGACATGGTGAGATGCCAATACAGTCTCTCAGAGTCAGATTGCATTAAGAACATTCCTGTGATCCGGGTTTTCCAAATTGGAACAAAGACAGGACAGGGTTGATGATATAAATCCTGCATTACCCATCGCAAGGAATATGCCATAATTCCCATTGTCTATAGGGTCCTTAAGGTACTGCAGGATGAAAACAAACCGTAGGGTTCTTGGTTGCAGACGCTCGAGGACCTGATTCTGGGTGCTTCTTGGGTGTTCCATGTGCACTTCGGTGTCTTCACTCTCCTGAGGCTTCCCACAAAACATACGGCAATACACTATAACAAAATAATATACTATACCATACTATAATATACGACTGTACTACACTATAATATACTGTGTTATAATATAATTTACTATACTATAATATACTATACTATAATATACTCTACTATACTATAATACGACCCTTGGCAGATGTCAGCCTGGTCAGGTGTCATCAGCTGCTGAGACGTGTCCTCACGCTTGATGACATGCACATTCTCGAGTCTGCGGGCATGGATGCGCTGATACTGCCCCTTCGACTTCGGTTTAGGGTTTAGGGTTTAGGGTACTGCCCCTTCGACTTTACCCAGGGGCCCCAAAGTAGTTCCTTTTTGGGTAGTATATTAAAGTCCCTAATCAAAAAGAGGACACTCCCAAAAAGGAACTACTTTGGGGCCCCTTCGACTTTCATGCGTCACATCTTGGACACGATCACGGTGGGTTCGCTCTGCCTCGGCTTCGTTTGGCACGAAACATCGCAGTTAGTCGTAGCAATAGCACTAGTCGTTGTCCTATAGCCGTCGTAGCGGCAGTGGTTTGTAGCAGTAGCAGGAGCAGCAGGCGCAGCCGCAGCCGGAGCAGGAGCAGGAGTAGTCACCTCCGAAGTAGTGCCAGTGGCAGTGGCAGGCAGAGGCAGTGGTGGTGGTGGTGGTGGTGGTACTAGTGCTACTACTGTTTACGACGGCGACTGCTGCCACTACGACACTACGACAACAACAGCAACTACTACTACTACTACTACTACTACTACTCTACTACTACTACTACTACTACTACTACTACTACTACTACTACTACTACTACTACTACTACTACTACTACTACTACTACTACTACTACTACTACTACTACTACTACTACTACTACTAGCCAGCGGCGTGTTTACCGTACCCGTGAAATCGGCTACTGGGGACTGGGGGGGGGGGGATAATAACGACATGGTTGACCGTAAGCAGTAACGGGGGGGGGGAGGGGGGCTAATAACGACATGGTTGACCGTAAGCAGTAACACAGTAGCGCCGGTAGCAGTAGCAGTGGTAGGATGCTTGTAACAACGTGTCTTGCTCCACATTCTTGTGCAGCATGTACAAAAAGCCAAACATGCTGTAAATACCAGTGTTTTGGGCATGACCGCCAAAGGCAATCACATGAACATTAACCTGACCATCTTCAGCATAACCATCATCTTCGCCATCTTCAACATCATCGTTAACTGCATCACCGGCCTTATGTTGATGATGACGACGATTATGAGGATGATGATAGGGATGATGACTATGAGGATGATGATGAAGATGATCAGGTAAACGATGATGTTGAGCATGGCGAGGATGATGGTTATGAAGACGATGACGAAGATGGTCAGGTTGATGTTCATGTCACTGCCTTTGGCGATCATGCCCAAAACGCTGGTATTTACAGCATGTTGGGCTCTTGGTACAACATGCTGCACAAGGATGTGGAGCAAGACACGTTGTCACAACACACGCGCGTAAACCTTTTCGAGCAACGCCTCCCACACAAAACACAAAACAGCCTTGTCATTTTCGTACTTCTAAAATACACTGAAATAAGCACGCCACCACAGCGGCAGCTGCGTTTTTCAATATTTAGGGGTACGGTAAACACGGTGGCGGGTACTAGTACTACTACTACTACTACTACTACTGCTACTACTGCTACGAGGGCTACGACTACTACGACTACTATTACCACTACTCCGCTACTACTACTTTTACTACTACTACTACTACTACTACTACTACTACTACTACTACTGTTGCTACTGCTGCTACTGCTGCTACTACCACTACTACTACTACCACTACCTCTACCACTACCACTACCACTACCACTACCACTACCACTACCACTACCACTACCACTACCACTACCACCACTACTGCTACTACTACTACTACTACTACTGCTACTGCTACTGCTACTGTTGCTGCTACTGCTACTGCTGCTACTGCTACTGCTACTACTACTACTACTACTACTACTACTACTACTACTACTACTACTACTACTACTACTACTACTACTCTTACTACTACTACTACTACTACTACTACTACTACTACTACTTCTACTTCCACTTCTACTTCTACTTCTACTTCTACTACTACTACAACTACTACTACTACTACTACTACTACTACTACTACTTCTACTACCACCATTACTACTACCACTACTACTACCACTACGACTACCACTACGACTACCACTACGACTACCACTACTACCTACTACCTACTACCTACTCCCTACGACCTACTACTACTACTGCTACTACTAACTACTACTACTACTACTACTACTACTACTACTACTACTGCTACTGCTACTGCTACTGCTACTGCTACTACCACGACCACGACGACCACGACGACTACTACTACTAACTTCTGCCACCCACTGCTACCTACGATCGCTGCTGCTACCTGTCACTCTTTCATACTGATCGTCACCCGCAGGCTGGAATAGAATACGCTATTGCATGGGGTCCTTATTTCCGCCACACCATAATGCAGCCAAAAGGCCCCATGCCAATCATTAACGGCCCATGTATACTAGAACCCCAGTAGCCGCTACTTAAGGCAATGATTAGGGCCCCTCCTAAACCCTAAACCCTTAACAGGAACCCGACTCTACTTGTTCAATGCCCCTGGATAAGACCCTCAGTCTCCATCGTAGTTCCTTGGTTAACCAACTTTATGGTTAGGATCCTGTAATGTAAACTTGGTTAACTCAGAAAGAGGAACTACAATGTAGACGATAGGTACAG